ATAGTTTTATATCATACTCGACTCACGATAACAATAAATTATTAATATGATAAATATAAAATTCATATTTTATGACGCGCGCGCATGTCACATATACGTTAGAATTTTTTACTCGAAGTATATTTTATAACTTTCATATTTACTGTTTTTTTTTGTGTAAATTAAAATGCATTAAATTTAGTTTGCCACATGTATGCAAATGTGACAACAAAGTGCTAGATTTTTTTCCTCAGATAAGCTTTCTCAATATTCTTATCGACGTTATCGAGATGACATCGGGATCACAACATATTATCCTTCGGAGGATAGCAGAAGGCACGAGGCGCGTGAGACGTTCGAATAGCGAACCCTCGCTACCGCAAATCATTCGTATCCCCGCCTCGCACCGGAACCGGCTAACAGTTTTGTAAAAAGCTTTTGTGAGTTCACCACGCTCGTAACTTCAACTTTGTCGCCGACGGTGTTTCCATCGTGGGACAGGAGACGACCAGACCTGTACGCCAGTACTAGTGCGGCAGAGGGATTACAGCCGAGCACAAAGGGGTCGGTCGGCGACGACGGATCTGCGGGGAAACGTAGAAAGGATAGAAGGAGATAAAGCGGGAAGGGTGAGGTGTCTCTTTCTCTCTCTTACTCTTTCTCTTTCTCTCTGAAATTACAGCCTCGTAACTCCCGGTAAGCGGGAAAGAGCGTATGTGACAGCGGGCGGACAGGCGCGCATGGTTTTCCGGAAGTTTTATAGCCATCAAGGGGGGTGTTCCAGGGGTGTTTCGGACCGAGCTACCCGGCCGTTGCCTTACGCGGTTTACGCCGTTACATGGTTCCCGCATTCTCGTAAACAACCAACCAGACGTGCTTATCGTGTTCTCGCGACGCGCATCGACTCGGCGCCTCATTTTGACATATCAATTCGCATAACGTTCCGAAGATTCGACAATAACGCAGTCGGCGTTAAAAGTGTCCCCTAAAAACTATCTCTCTCACTCGACTTTTACATGTATACCCGAATTATTAACGGTAATCTTATTAATATATCCTACATATCGAGGTTTGTATAATCAGTAATCAAAAATTTTGGAATTGTAAAAAGATAATCTCTTGAATCTCTTTTTTATATATAATATTTGTTAATTTTATCATATTTGTTTTTGATCGGTTTTTATCGTCTTAATGTTTAAATTTATCAAACGTTTGTCTCACAAGAACAAATTCCAATCAGACCACAAGATTTTTTATTTGTTCAGTCTTTCATTTGAAAAGTAGGAATAACCTTGTAAAAATGGAACTTTGCAAACTTATATAAAATAATTTACTGTGGAATGCTCGCGTGACACAAGTTATACTGAATGCTTGCGTGCACTATAATTATATAGTTCATTTAATTATGCTATAAATCTTACAATCGCGATGCACAAATTATTTCAATGCACGTTTACAGCTCTCGCGATAATATAATAAAAACAACTCTCTTTCTCAACGTTGCGTACAGAATTTTTATGACATCTATATTACGAATTCATATCTAATCGTTAGAATTATTGACTTAATGTATACTTTTTTGCATTGAAAAATGATAAATATCCTGTATATTTCAATAATTTAAAGATATCTGGAAATTTTTAACTATACTTTTATTTAAAATCTCTCATATATTCTTAATCAACTTTCTTTAAATAAACTCTTACAATTTTCACTATCTTAAAATGAATAAAACAACCGTTAAGGAAAATGTTATGACACATAAAATGATAATGTATTAGATAATACTCAGGGCATGTCTGAGAATTTATTAGCAATCAGTAGATGTCAATACTATCGATCGGGATGTATTTTCAAAGTACTTCAAGAAGAGTTGCAGCATCGTCTTACAAGTCACCGCTTAATAGCTTCCGCGTTGTCGTAAACTGTCAAGCCGATATATTTATAGAGTTGCGTGATACATAACTACAGTATCGTCAAGTAAGAATCCAGTATAAATACGATAACGCTAAGATAAGCAGACACATTAAGCGTTGAGAGAGCGATACGAGTATATTAATATAAAAATGTCGCATCGTGTCTCTTTTTCATAATTTCTTTTTTAAAAACCTCGTTATCGATAAAAAATTGCACGTTTACAGCTCTCGCGATAATATAATAAAAACAACTCTCTTTCTCAACGTTGCGTACAGAATTTTTGATATCTATATTACGAATTCATATCTAATCGTTAGAATTATTGACTTAATGTATACTTTTTTGCATTGAAAAATGATAAATATCCTGTATATTTCAATAATTTAAAGATATCTGGAAATTTTTAACTATACTTTTATTTAAAATCTCTCATATATTCTTAATCAACTTTCTTTAAATAAACTCTTACAATTTTCACTATCTTAAAATGAATAAAACAACCGTTAAGGAAAATGTTATGACACATAAAATGATAATGTATTAGATAATACTCAGGGCATGTCTGAGAATTTATTAGCAATCAGTAGATGTCAATACTATCGATCGGGATGTATTTTCAAAGTACTTCAAGAAGAGTTGCAGCATCGTCTTACAAGTCACCGCTTAATAGCTTCCGCGTTGTCGTAAACTGTCAAGCCGATATATTTATAGAGTTGCGTGATACATAACTACAGTATCGTCAAGTAAGAATCCAGTATAAATACGATAACGCTAAGATAAGCAGACACATTAAGCGTTGAGAGAGCGATACGAGTATATTAATATAAAAATGTCGCATCGTGTCTCTTTTTCATATAATTTCTTTTTTAAAAACCTCGTTATCGATAAAAAATCATTTTAGCAGTAAACACACATATCTTGATTCTAAATATTATTCGATCAATTAAAAATTACTGTTTATTTTTGTCAAAGCGATAAATTTAAAAAAATAAAATTTTACGATTAATGAAATGACATTTTACCAAGGAAATGTCAAAAAGGTTGCGTTACGGAAATGGAAAGCGGGGACGAATCTAGGCGGTGAAATGCGCCACACCGCGTTTACCGCATCGTCGACGTCAATCAATCAATATACCCGGTAGTAGTGGCTGCCCACGTGATACAGTAAGGGGGATCGAGATGGATATTGGATTGCAAGATGAAAGCTGCTCGTTAAATTAGTTTCTAATCTGTCTGATCTCTGAAAGCGCCGAGTCCCGGGCTTCATTCTCGTACGTCTAATCATTAATCTCTGCCAGCAGATGTGCCGCCGTCATTGATTTAAATCACCGGCGCGTTGGTTAACCCTTCCTAATCTAGTCTGCCTGTCTGGATCGGCCTGATGCCCGATCGGATCGCCGGTAGAATGTAACGAGATAACATATACTTGCAAATACATACGCAAAAGTCGAAGCAACGTGTTCCGCGTTCCGAACCGTCTTGGAAAGGAAACAAAAAAAGAAAATCCGACTCTTAACTTCGACGCCGTAAATTTCTTTTTTCCTTTTTACTCGGAAAACTTGACTGGGTCGTCGATATAGTTCGAAGGAACAAGTCTGCGGAGAGTGCACATGTAAAAATGTAAGATAACAATTGTGACAAACATATATATATATATATTGCATTGAAATAATAAAAAACACATTTCTTTAAATCAATCTCTTTGTGATTCGTGTAACGAGCAAAATCCAAAAAATATTTTATATATAAATAAATCTTGCCTATAAATTTACATTTTCTCGTATAACTTTTCAAAATGGCAAACTTTAAATAATATTTTATATTTTATACGAATCAAGTCTTTTACAAATCTGTCCCACCCAAATCATACTTGAATTATTTTTTAATATAAAGATCAAATGAGCAAATAATCAAGTAATTCTCGAAATGAAGAACGAGAAAGACGCGAACACCGCCCTTGTCCCTCTCTGTGTCTCGTTTTCGCGGTGTCCCGTAGGATGACAGCGGGAAGAGAGAAGCCCGGATGATATCTGCCGACGAAAATTTCGGTACACGCTCTTTGCGGGGCCGTCCGCGGGCTCGTGAGAGCGCAGCCGGAGACAGTAAATCAAGCCCGGCGTAGAGTGAACTCTCGGCGGTGGCAAACAATGCGCGGCGTGACGAAGGCATTGTCGAGTTTACGCCCGGCGGGGTGCTGCTGCTCTCCGGCTAACATCCAGAGCTCAGTTCACTCACCATTATGGAACGGGCACGATGGGGCGATGGGTGGGGGGGAAGGGGAGCCCCATCAATTACATGGGAAATTGCGCTCGCATTATTTATCTGCGTATACACCGACACGAGCCGCGCGCACTAGGCCACGCCGCGCCGCGTCGCGCCTCTCCTCTCCGCGCCACTCCGCTCCGTTCCGCGCCACGCCACTCCGCGCCACGCCGCATCGCACCATGCCCTGTCGCAGTTCTCCGCAGCGGTTATCGATAGCCTGACAAAGAGGACATAAATAACACCTTTTGCGCTAGTACACGTTCTGTATGCTCATATCGGTACGGACGCGTATATAGCTGCCCCGTTATTCGCGCATCAGACGGATGATTCTTAGCAAAGCGGCGATCCATTATCTGGCGCGCACCGCCCTCTTAGCGTAGAGCGTCTTGCCATTAAATCGAGGAAGCGGAGAAACGCGATGTTATTGGCTCGCAAATTATCGCCGATAATTATTGCTGTTTATAACGTCATTTTGAGAATAAACAAATTTTTGAAACCGGTATAATAAAACATCGCATTAATTATTTATTGCAACATCTCACCGTCTCTTTATCTCTCGAAAACTTAACTCTAAGTTTTTGCCGTAAATTTGAAACTTGTTTCATTTCAACGAGAAATAGTTGGATATTCATGCTCGATTATTTAATACGCGCGAAGCTTTAAATTTTCGTCGTATTTACAAGTTGCCGAATTTTACCCTCTTGTCAGTCGATACCAGTAGCAACGGCACTTAAACGCTTTTACCAGAAATCATGTAGCATGGAAATATCGTGCGACTAACGCGACGCTTTATATGTCCGCCAATACATAATGTATGGATACGTACGTACGTGAATAGGATGACAAACTTAACCTCCGAGCGCAAAGGAGTAGGATATACGGTAGAAGCTGCGACATCGGTGGAAAAGTCCGAGAGGGTGGTAGAGGGCGGAGGGAGGAATGAGATGGAAAAGTGAGTGAAATAGAGGGTTCGATCGACTCTTGGATATCCGGTATAATTGGGTGCATTAATAGTGCGCATTTATATATATATATGTAATAATCAAATTTCTCTGTAATGTTTCAACGCATATATATTTACATAATTAATTGTATAGTTTAATTACTTTGTCATCTCTTGCAAAGAATATAAAAAATCGATGATATATATATATATCTATGCCTTGTGAAGACAGACGTGTAGCACATAAATATAGTCGATTGTATAACGATAAAACATCCGGCGATTCTTCAAAGCACTAAAGCTTTGTATAAAATAATTTGTTTTATTTTTCCGTACTTAACAACCCTGTCGGTATTTTTAGAAAGCGGCACTTGTGAACGCAAAAAAGTCGGCTCGAGAGTGAAAAAAAAAAGATCCGAGGGATTACGGTAGAAGTCACGTAATGCGTGAACAAAAGGAAGGCGTATGTCACGAGGGGTATAAATTAGTCGCGACAATCAAAAGCCGGCGGGTGGCATTAACGGATTAAAATATTACGTTCGAACGTTCCCGTTAACTTTCACGAGCGCAATTAATATATAGCCTCGCGTTGCCGTAATGGCCTGTTGCAATTCACGGCATTAATATCTGTCGGCGTCGCGCCATTAGTACCGACCGGCCGTGAGCGGCCGGATTAGTGTTGCATGATCGTTGCATTTTAATTATGGCGGAACATCTGTTCGGTGGACGTATCGGCCGAAGAGAAATATCGCTCCTCTATACGTTAATTATACCGAGTGCATCATCGTGACCGCCTCCGAGTCGGGAGATGCGCGAAGGCGCCGATATTAAATTCCCGCACTTACACGCTAATGACGTCTGTATCGGCCAATTGCATATTGATTATATCCTCCGGTGTATCTCGTTCTCGAAAAGAAAAATAGGAAAAAAAACAATCCGCGCGGATAATTATCAAAGACATTTCGTGTTGACGCGTCGTATTTCAGATTCTTGAGAATTATAACGCACGCGCGTATCGACGTTTCTTTCAATTAATCGGTCAATTTTTATCGCGAAATAAAGAGATTATTTCACTACAATTTTATAAATATTCGAAAATTATTATGCCTCATCAGATTTATTATTGCTACCAGGAATAATTCAGTTTCGATGTATAGAGACAGATTGTATTAGACGAAATCTGGAAATATATGTAGCTTGCCTAAAAATATTCTCGATAATCAAATCAAGCATTCTGGCGGATAAGTGTGTCCGACGCACCCTTTATTCACGTCACTTCTCATTCGGCGAGAGAGTGACGTGGCGTTATAGATTGCGGTTTGCGCGTCATTAATTGGACTTGCACCTTCACCCAGACGCGACACGCGCCAAGTTTCGAGAATTGTCGGATTGAATAATGCAGCGTAACTGTTGATCGATAATCACTGATATTTTGCATTCGAAATGAAATCGATCACACTCGAAACCGACAATAATTACAATATCGCGCATAGATATGAAAAAGTCTGTATATTAATAAATGTTAATACAATCTATTTGATTTTCTAAATCAAAATAAAATATAGCGTAAAATTATTTTGCTGAAAAATACAAATTACTTGTTTTAATAAAGTTATATTGTTAAATTATATAGTTTAGTTTTAAAAAGATAATGAATTTATACATACTTATGAAATACACATGGTACGTTTAATTTGCATCGTGCGTGTTGTTTTAGGTAAAAATGTGGATATTGCGCGCGATCCACATATTATATATATA